CACATCCACTGTTGTCTCTGCGTCTGTTTTCAGCCCTTCTGGCGGGATCCCATCTGATCCTGCTGCTTTACCGGATTTTAGCAGTTTTATGGCATTCAGGACTTCTGCTTTTGTCGGAGGGCCTGTGTTCACTGGTAGTTCTGTCGTTACTGATGGCATTTCCGGATGAGTTGCAGGTGGCGGTCGATTCAAGAGTTTTTTAAGTGGTCAGCCCATTGTTTCCTTTCCTCTTTGGTAACTAGCTTTCCTTCACTATCTTTCATTGGTTTCGTCTGAGTTGATCTCTTCTCGGACAGTAACCTGGTTATTTGATATTATGTTGTCAGGTCTCTGTTTCTCCTGCCTGTAGCCTGTTCTGTTTCACTTGCCAATGTGTTGTAGAAGAAGTATCTATTGTCTTTGCACGCACGCCACTTCATTGTCCAGTGTGTTTTATGGTTTGTACTCAGTTCTTCTTTCCGTTGTGCATCCTCATACGTGATTGTTATCAGTTATTACTTCCATTTTACTTGATTTATTGGATGTACCGCACAGTGAAACAGTATTATTTACTGGATTACTTTCCGGACATAATTTTTTCTACACTGCCATATTAAAATAACTACACAACTTTGGGATATCATTTATATAGTCCTAATTTCTTCGCCTCCTTTTTGATATGCGTAGTAGGATTTCCCATATATCCGGAACAGGTTCGGAGTCATTCCTTTTGCATGTATTAAGTGTTGATTCGATAAGCAAAAAGTTACTTGTCAATCTCTCCCTCCACCCTGCTATGTTAGTTTTAAGGATTTTCATCCTGTCCCATCCTATTATGTGGTTGTATGCAGTTCCATGCACAGCTATAACCGAGATAATTTCCTTATCTTATTAAGACCTACCAATTTTGACCTAGCTAGGTTTTTGTGCTGGGATTGACCTTGGTCGATTACTTTGCCTATGTATTTGCCTTTACAATCGTTCCAAAGGACTTCGTAAACTAAACTAAACTATTTTGTCTAATATGACCAATAGGATTTTTCAACCTACAAATGTTATTTCTAAGTGAGTTTGGAGGCGGAAATGCCACTCTACTCGCGGCCGGCCTCATTGAGAATCCTACGTAATGTCTCTGAGGTGTCTTCTTTGTATCCTAATACTGTAGAGGTTTCGAATTCTCTCCTCACAGTATTGCCACAATTACTATTGTCAGTATTACCATTACTACTAATAACAACTGTATTACTAATATTATTCAGACTTTTCGTATGACTCCTAAGGAATTTTAGAGTGTAATTGTTGGTGAGTATGATGTCTTTAAAGTATGTGGTTTCTTATCTTAGATTATATCCCAAACGTAATCCAGTAAATAATACCGTCCTTCTGTGTGATAAATTTAATACATCAACTAGAACGGAATCGTAAGGAGCGGATCAGCATGGTCAAAACATGTCCGCATCACCTCAGCTAGTGAAGGTTGGCAACTTCATTGCCTGGCTCCTCTGCTTCGCCTTGTACATTTCGCTGAACCTCAACAATGCGCACAGGATGACCCCATCATGCAAGGGCGATATTGCAGAGACACCTGGGTTCGAGACTCACTACTTTCAACGGCCGTCCCGTAGCCGTTTACAAGAGAGGACTACCGTGCAGTATGTTCACGCTTTAGTAAGGGATCGGATACCTTGTCGGCGCCAGAGATGACTTAGATTGATAAGAGTCAGGAACGCCTGGGCAACTTTCTACCTCCATCCTTGAACACTTGATATCCAAAACCGTCAAGTCCTGAGCAAAATTTGGAGATTTATAAACGGAATACGGTCCCGAGTGTAGTTTAATGATGAGGATTTTCAGGTTGGTTTTGAGAAAGAACTGGCTAGACAGTTGTTGAAAGAGAACATCACCTATCTGGAATAAGCATGGTGCCATCTCTAATCTGCAAAAATACAGTTGAAGATAGCAGCTGACTCTCAGAGAGTGGTTAGAAATAGTATGTATATCTCAGTAGCTTGTCTTTATCAGAGCACGCACATGAACACATTCCTGCAGTCTCCAATCGCAAAAAGATCGGAAGCACCTCAACTGTAGACTGAAGAGAAGTCTTTGAATCTATGCCTGTACTACACCCAGTTATCAACTTGCTTAAATCCAAAAAAGATAAGTTGGTGACAAGATTATCACATAGGATAGTAATGTAATTCTACTGTGACCTTGACAATAGAAACGACAGCATTCAGAAATAGCGTTCCGTCATATCTACCCAAAAAGTGAACAGCGAACCCTTAAAACACTTTTTTTATCGAAAACCGACATGGAATTGACAACTGGTGAGTTTTCGGACCTTTTCAGCAGAAAACAGCCAGACACAAAAAACAAACGCAGAATCTAGCAGTGATTCAGGTGGTCATATATCACACCTTACAAAGAAATCCATTAAAAGGAGCAATATCAAAGTAAACGGAAGTTTGTTTGACGTCTTGGTGATACGTACTATAGGACTGATCCCTAGAAGTACGATCTGATATGAGGTGTGGCAACTCGGACCGTTACACAGTAATGCCTAGTCCTATGTTGATAATGATGATGATGATGATGAAACGGAAGTTTATAAGAGGAGAGATAGAAATTTTTCGAAGGTGCCGAAGAGTGAATAACAGTCAGATCATGATAACCGACTTCCAGTCACGTTATCCAGAATCTTCAACCACTGACACCTACCGAACTTTAAACCCACAAAGCTTATTTCTAAGTGAGTTTGGAGGCGGAAATGCCACTCTACTCGCGGCCGGCCTCATTGAGAATCCTACGTAATGTCTCTGAGGTGTCTTCTTTGTATCCTAATACTGTAGAGGTTTCGAATTCTCTCCTCACAGTATTGCCACAATTACTATTGTCAGTATTACCATTACTACTAATAACAACTGTATTACTAATATTATTCAGACTTTTCGTATGACTCCTAAGGAATTTTAGAGTGTAATTGTTGGTGAGTATGATGTCTTTAAAGTATGTGGTTTCTTATCTTAGATTTTCTGTTTTACTAGTAAGTTTCCTGGCCCTGTTACTCACACATTTTACCAAACCAACTTTAACTGACATAAGGTCAGGCGATTTGAAGTCGAAGTGACGATTTTAGTGTGAAGATTTACTTTAGACACTGGTGTCCAAACTCCCATCTTTTCGTTCTATTCTGTAATCTAGCATCGCCAGTTCCCCTTCACTGTTTTCTAATTTATGGGCGAATTGGATTGCGTTGACTACTGAATTTATCTTTGTAAGGAAACCATATGTGTGCTCTGATTTCATCACGATGTGTGTGTCATCTACGTATCGAAACCATACTTTTGTAGCCGGACTGAATGTTTCTAACAATCTATAAATATGTCAGTCACTATAGGGGATATTGGTCATCACATGGCAACTCCTGTTTGTTTGTATATTTTATTCAGAAACGTAAAGATCATGGAAGTTAGGCGTAGCTGTATTCTCAACAGGATCTTATCTACTGATACCTTAGTTCGTAGTCGAAGCTCAGCCATTATTGAGCTCCTTTCTAACTGCTTTCAGAGCCATGTCAATCGGTATATCAATATATAAACTAACTACATCAAAACTAACTATTTTCTTGTTGTCATCTAATGTGTGCTTCAAGCCATGATCGTCAGTAAGTCTTGATTTACAATGCTTTCTAATAGTGTAATGGGCTTTGCTGATCAGAATGGATATAAATAGTATATGTTGAGAGGGCGGCAGAAATCATAGGGAATTATCAGTAAGGGTAAAGATTCTGCCCAGAGAAACGCAATAGACAATGTTTGAGTATTCAGAAGAAATGAAGATAGAAGCGGAAGAGAAAATGAAGCACACTATGCAAATGACTGTCTTAGTTCAAGGTGTATGATATTTGATGACTACAAGATGTCAATAGTAAATATTCCTTCCTGCGTCTCAGTCTTGTCGTTTCCTTCAACAGGATCTAGTACCATTTCTAAATATTGAGATAAGTTATAAGTAGGAGTGTTTCTAAAGTCTACTATGGGTCTCGTATGTAATCTGGCTTATGAATTTTAATAGTCCCATGAATCATCCTGGCATCATTAGTCTTCGGGATTAAATTAAACCATTTTGATTCACCTGGAGATGGCTGCATTAGGATTATTTGGTTCACCACGATTTTTTCAAACCTCAGTAGCTTCATATGATTCTCTTTTTATATGTTCCTTGACTTTCTGAATGTAATCAGATTTGTTTAACACTACTGTTGAGTTGCCTTTGTCAGATTTAGCGATTGCTATATTGTTGTCATTTCGAAGGTTTTTCAAAGCCATTTTTTGTGCTTTTGGTAAATTCTATGTCGTTAATTTTACAGCTTATTGAGCTCTCACCGAAAGGTGTAAGAGAAGTTTTGAAGAACCTTCAGAATGACAACAATATAGTTATTGCTAAATTTGACGAAGGCAAATCAGCAGTAGTGTTCAACAAATCTGATTACGTTCAGAAAGTCAAGGAACATACAGAAACAGGACTGTACGAAGAAATTTAGAAACTTGAAATATTGGTTTAAAATAACTGATTTTCGAAATGCTAAGTTTTGTAGTATGCTGTTGTCATACTTGTACTAATACTTTTATACAAACTTTAGTTATATGTTATGTTCTGTTGCTTTCCATGATGTTTAATAGCTAGATTCGACAACGATATAACAAAACACTAAAAATTGTCATCCCTGCTGATTTCGTCAAAATAGGGTTGCACTTAAGTAAATCATATAACTAGTGTTATATACCGTTGTTGAAATGATTTAGTAGAGATAAAAGCGGTAAGAAATAACTGGGTTCTCTCTTTCTCTGTCACTATACTGACTTATTGACTTCACCATTGAATATAAAATTCCCTCTGTCTATTCAAGGTAAAAGTGATTTCTTTCAATGACAGGTTATCCTAAGGGTCTATGTGATCTGTTTTTCACTTAAATATTATCATTTATCACATTTAAATTTTGCTGCATTCTTTTTATCCAGTTGGTATGTAAATCCTTTGATGACATGCGTGAGCTAATTGAGGAACTGAAAGGAGCATATTCAGATGATGAAAAGTTGGAAGATATTCTTAAGAAAAAGCAAGTTTCTTCAGATAAAGCAGACCTAAAGGACCAATTAACAAACTTAATACAAGACGGTATAGCTTCCCCTGAACATGAGATTTTCAATAGCCATAAGGATTCTCCCGTTTCACTTGCATTAACGTCAAGTGAAGATTTAAAAAATACTACACTGTCTTCGCTTCCAGTTGACTTTCAAGAACCACCTATCCATTCAGTTGATATGTTGCTAGGACCTTCAAAGTTCGAACATTTGATTAAAACTGAAGAACAAAAAAACGAAGAAATAGATCACCAGATATCTCCCAATGACCATTTAAACGGAAGTGACGAAGACCACCATGAAATGCCAGCTGATGACTCCAAAGAAAGCAATATTGACACAAGGTATGTTCAGTCACTGAATAAATACATCTATACTCGTTAGCAGTGGTTTCAAGTGTGTTTTTCAATGTTATTTTTCTGTTTTTGATAAATACAGTCTAGATATATGTTTTTAAAAATCTCCACTACATGATAGCCTATCTTGAACTCGCATACAAGTTACATTAACTCGATTTGTTCAGACCTGTTTGCAAAACTTCTTGGTATCCTTTTAGCAGATTGCGAGTTACATAATATCTGAAGGGACTTGTTAAATGTTCATATCTTATTTTCATTGAAGACAGGATAATCACAGCAACAAAATTTTTAATTTTGTCATTGTTTACTACTTCGGCCAACATTATATGACGATGCCTAGCCACAATCTGCCTTGTCACACAATGTTGGTCGAAGTAGGTTCAGGCTTGTCAAAAGCTCAGGGTGGCCAGACTAAAACATGGCATCAGTCCATGAAGTTCTTGACTGTTGGTTTGATCCACGCAGGGCGATGCAGACTAGCCGATTATTGTCTGCGGGACAAGAAAAACCAGTTGTTGGAGACTCAATATCCTCATGTTCTCATTTTATTACTTTCTACTCCCACCTCCTTTAACCAATTTTTCTTTCCTTTTTCATCTTTATTTTATTCCCTTGTTACTTAATGTGCTGATATGAGGCGTCGCAGCTTGGACCGTTACGCAGTATAATGCCTGGTCCTATGTTGATCTGGATGATGAATGGCTCAAGGATAGCACTCCGTGGATCGCTATTTTTTTTAGTAGCGGATAAAATTGTTTTGATCATGGTGTCTAGTCTCTAAGAAAGTCTTAACTAAACGATTAAGACTTGCTTGAACTGTATGATGTACAGAAATTTTAGTTCGAAATCCAGACCAGTTTAACTTCCAGTTAGTTGCACACTAATTTTGTATTATTTGTAGCAATTGGATTACAGCGCAAGTTAAAGCTAAGCCTTAGTAGAAAAATTATTATACATTTGTTATTTTCTGGTGCTGTTCAACAGTTTTGTTTTTCAAATGCTAAAGTTAGTACTTGTAACTTTCTTTTACAAATTGCAGTAATGAATATCAACTCAAACCAGAATGCATTTCGGATCAAGTTCTGAAACCAGAAGAGGATTATAGTGAGCAAACGAACGAATATTCTCAATTATCAGCTACAGAAGTACCCACTTCTGTTTTATCAAACACTCAGATCAAAAAGTCACGAAAGCACAGCTCAAGTAAAAGTTACTCTGAAAGTGCTATCGGCGAACAACAGGATTTGCGACGCAGTAGTCGGCAACGTAAACCTGTCCAAGTTTTCAATATCCAACCAACTCAGTCAAAACGCGTTAAAATATCCACTTCAGGTACTGATTCGTTATCGAAGACAATTGATAGAAAGGATAGCCCTAAAAAACAAAAGATACCAGCTATTACTATCCGTCTTTCTGAAAATGGCCATGTGGTGGATAAGAATCAAAAAAGGAGGAAGAAACGTCATCGTAAAAAATCCCGCAAGGGTTCAAACCCTTGGGTTTACGGGACATCATCCAGTGACTCAGACATTGAGGAAGATGATTCTTTTGAGAAAGCACTTATGCAACATCTCAATGTAGATAGTGATAATTCAGCACCCTGTTCACCAGCAAAAGCGAACAAACACCTAAGTACTGAATGGTCAGATGCTCCTGAAAGTGATTTCGATCCAGATGGGTTAGATGTGCAAAGCGATGTCGATAGTGTAACTGACGGACGGAATCTAGCTCGACAAAAACGTCTACAGAAAAAGTTTGTATCAGATTCTAGTACTAATTTCAATGAGGTTGAAAAAGAAGAACTTTGCCAGGTTTGCTTTAAGTCAAATATGCCTGACTGGATGTTATTGTGTGACCGATGTGATTTAGGTCATCACGCTATGTGTCTGTCACCCCCTTTGTACATAATCCCTGAAGGTGATTGGTTCTGTCCACGTTGTCAACATACTGCACTAATATTAGCCTTAAATGAAACCGTCACAGCTCTTGAGGCGGAGTCCAAAAAACGAAATATCTGGAGACGCATGCAGGAACGTTTAAATTTTGTCAATATCAGTATGACAAATATTTTGGGGGATGATGACAGTGAATGTGATGACAAGAAGAATAAGAAAGGAAAAGTACTAAGAAGTACTCAAAGTAATAATGTTAACTATGTCTATAACAATTCATGTAGTGAAGAGGCTGATGATGTGGCCTCTGGATCTGATTCTGAAACGAAAAGTGCAGACTACAATACTGATTCTGGAGTTGACGGCCGGTCTCGCAAGAGTTCTGCTAGGAATCCGCGACTTCGTCCGAGACGAAAGATGCAACATTCTAGACCTCGTCGGGTAAACTTCAAAGAAACAACTTTTGATGACAGTGAATCATCCGGGTCCGAGTCCGAATCTCCTCCTTGTAGAACTACGCGTCAGCGCCAGGTTAGGTACAAAATGAGCGAAGCGTTTAAACAGCTAGATGAAGCACTAGAAATCGATGAAAAGTATCAAGAAGAGAAACAGCAAAGACTAAAACGCAAGTCTGCTGGGTACTCTAATGAATTTGATGATGAAAATATCGTAAAAAATGAGGTGAGCAATCAAGAGCCTAGTCGTTCACATGGAAAGGACCTATCAAACATCTTAGGACCGGAATGGAAAGAATCTGAAAGTGATTGTAGAGTGCAGTCTTTATGCAAGAAACGTCGTATTGGTAATCTGTCTTCAAACTCATCCAGTGAGTATTCATCTAATGAAGATGAAACACGCAGTAAGCCAGGGCGTAGCAGCAAAGTGAAAGATGAAGATTTCAATCCATCATCTTTAGAAGAATCAGAAAGCGAAGATGATGCTGACAATCTGAACTGTGATTCAAGTGATGAAGTTGATCAACTATCGAGTGATAATAGTTGGCTTTCGACTGCTCGTCGTCGCTCTCGAAACTCAAGACAGAATGTCCGTAAGAGAAGAAATTTCTCTAACACTTATCGTCGATCACGGAAACCTGTTCCCCGCTTCGAAGACAGTGATGAATATTCAGATCGTAAAACAACGCGATCAAGGAGGTGAGTACAATTTCGGTAAAAAAAAACACATGTAATATTTCCTGTTCCATAAAGTTGATGAGATCCACTAATTGTTTACAGTCTTACTAGATTTTAAGCTACACATGTTATTTGAGAGTAGATGATACTGTCAGGTGATCTGAATTTGAGTAAGTAAACTGGTAGATCGGCGATTACGGGTTGAGTGCCTGAATCGCTGGTTTGCAGCTTTAAATAAAAAACCGACATAGATTTTTTCCCCCGTAATTTTGTTACTCCCAGTACTGCAAATTGTGGGGGCACTGTATTTGTTAATTATTTTTTATTATGAATGTGATTCGTAAACATTAAGATTTTCTCCATTTCGCAGCTGCGATTCAACACCATGAAGGTTATATTTCAAACTCCCAAAAAAAGCCATATATTATTGACCTGAAGCAGATGTCCCGTGGGCTCTGCAAACGCGCAAAACTAGTCTATGTTTTCATTCAGGTAGCTCACAGAAATAACTTCCACCCTGTGGGCGGCCGGGAAGTACCCACCGCTCGCAAACGCCCGATAGAATACAAATCCAAACTAACCATAATATACCTTCCCTACCTTTGTCTGTTGTCTTGCCTTCACTTTCTGATGCGAACATTAGGCCCGTTACCTCAGGTTCCCACTCTGCAAAAGTTGCTTCCGATCTAAGTCAGCGAACATTATTCCTACTCTCTCAGAACCTCTTTGTATGTTCCACATTGGGAATTCCAACGTCAAAACTCTCTATGCCATGAGAATTTCTATGGCCGATTCGTGATCTTCACGTACGTGCCCACCGACCGCTGTTCGGATAATGCAAAAGATGAATCCCATCAAAGGCTACCAATTTCGTTGCTTAAAATAAACCGTTCAGCCTAAGTCACTATGGTAAGTGACTTCTACATTCAAGTAGGGAGGCTGAACCAATCGGTATGGCATCCCAAAGGTATTAGCACTATGATATCTCATGTCAAAATAGTGGCTGATTAGTTTAGGGAGGTGACTTTTAACTCATGGGTCACTAATTCGAACACCGCTCTACCTACCGGGGCTTGGCAGGCCGCATAGTATCATCATACCTCAGACACTAGGTGTGGCGCACTGCCTACGCACGGTTGTGGACAAGGTAGCTGAGTGTATTTCAATCTCATGCCAAACATCTAACAAGAGTGATTGTTCCTCACATTTTGTCCCAACAATTACTTGATTCCGGTTGCCACCTGCTTGAAAAATAGAGGTACTGTCTCACTTGGTTTTCACCAAAATCAAATCTACTGTCGCTGTTTCTGACGTACCTGGCTGGGAAAATGGTCATACATTTATTTATTTGTTCCTTTTTAATTTACTGGGTACATGAAAGAGACAGCAGTGAAGCCTGCGTGTACTTGATTGGAAGATGAGAACGTGAAGTGCGCACTTAAAGATGGGTGTATATATATATGTGTGGTTCAGGATGTATGTGAACGTGGGAGTAGTTGTCTTCCAGATGAAGGCTGGTGTGATATTTGGTTTGTTGTAGAAACAGTGTTAAATACAGTTGACAATCTCCATTCGAAGGTTAGCAAAGTCCATTGAATTTTCTCAACTTGTACGGATGTGATAGGACTGATTTCAGCGTGTTGCTCTGAATAGAATGAAGAGCGGAAGCGTTTGGAAGGTGAATTGACTGAGATTCTTCTCAGTGATCATTGTCATAAGTGAGTGGGTAAAGCGAATGAGATGGAGATGGAGAAGGTATTAGTATTAGGTGATGTTCGTGAGTTGTATATGTTTATGAATGATACTGACGAGAAGAAGACGATTGTCAATGTAACTACCGGTGTTGAGGGTATTGTTCAGGTGTAACCCCTCATGACAGGTGGGTAGAACGTTGTACAGGATATTTTGAAGCACAGTTTGAATGGGTTGACAGTGACACTTCAGTTTCCCATTACTGATTCTGAATATGATTGTGATGTAAATGTCGGCCTTTCAACTGTTGTTGAAGTTGAGAAGACTGTTAGAAGTCTGAGGTGATGCCAAGTAGCAGGACTTGACGGTTTTGGATATCAAGTGTTCAAGGATGGAGGTAGAAAGTTGCCCAGGCGTTCCTGACTCTTATCAATCTAAGTCATCTCTGGCGCCGACAAGGTATCCGATCCCTTACTAAAGCGTGAACATACTGCACGGTAGTCCTCTCTTGTAAACGGCTACGGGACGGCCGTTGAAAGTAGTGAGTCTCGAACCCAGGTGTCTCTGCAATATCGCCCTTGCATGATGGGGTCATCCTGTGCGCATTGTTGAGGTTCAGCGAAATGTACAAGGCGAAGCAGAGGAGCCAGGCAATGAAGTTGCCAACCTTCACTAGCTGAGGTGATGCGGACATGTTTTGACCATGCTGATCCACTCCTTACGATTCCGTTCTAGTTGATGTATTAAATTTATCACACAGAAGGACGGTATTATTTACTGGATTACGTTTGGGATATAATCTAAGATAAGAAACCATATACTTTAAAGACATCATACTCACCAACAATTACACTCTAAAATTCCTTAGGAGTCATACGAAAAGTCTGAATAATATTAGTAATACAGTTGTTATTAGTAGTAATGGTAATACTGACAATAGTAATTGTGGCAATACTGTGAGGAGAGAATTCGAAACCTCTACAGTATTAGGATACAAAGAAGACACCTCAGAGACATTACGTAGGATTCTCAATGAGGCCGGCCGCGAATAGAGTGGCATTTCCGCCTCCAAACTCACTTAGAAATAAGCTTTGTGGGTTTAAAGTTCGGTAGGTGTCAGTGGTTGAAGATTCTGGATAACGTGACTGGAAGTCGGTTATCATGATCTGGCTGTTATTCACTCTTCGGCACCTTCGAAAAATTTCTATCTCTCCTCTTATAAACTTCCGTTTCATCATCATCATCATCATTATCAACATAGGACTAGGCATTACTGTGTAACGGTCCGAGTTGCCACACCTCATATCAGATCGTACTTCTAGGGATCAGTCCTATAGTACGTATCACCAAGACGTCAAACAAACTTCCGTTTACTTTGATATTGCTCCTTTTAATGGATTTCTTTGTAAGGTGTGATATATGACCACCTGAATCACTGCTAGATTCTGCGTTTGTTTTTTGTGTCTGGCTGTTTTCTGCTGAAAAGGTCCGAAAACTCACCAGTTGTCAATTCCATGTCGGTTTTCGATAAAAAAAGTGTTTTAAGGGTTCGCTGTTCACTTTTTGGGTAGATATGACGGAACGCTATTTCTGAATGCTGTCGTTTCTATTGTCAAGGTCACAGTAGAATTACATTACTATCCTATGTGATAATCTTGTCACCAACTTATCTTTTTTTGGATTTAAGCAAGTTGATAACTGGGTGTAGTACAGACATAGATTCAAAGACTTCTCTTCAGTCTACAGTTGAGGTGCTTCCGATCTTTTTGCGATTGGAGACTGCAGGAATGTGTTCATGTGCGTGCTCTGATAAAGACAAGCTACTGAGATATACATACTATTTCTAACCACTCTCTGAGAGTCAGCTGCTATCTTCAACTGTATTTTTGCAGATTAGAGATGGCACCATGCTTATTCCAGATAGGTGATGTTCTCTTTCAACAACTGTCTAGCCAGTTCTTTCTCAAAACCAACCTGAAAATCCTCATCATTAAACTACACTCGGGACCGTATTCCGTTTATAAATCTCCAAATTTTTGTCAAGCCTGGACGCACATGAAATTAAGCCAATAGGTAGTTACTATTGAAGCATACTCTCCAAAACGAAAGCTAATCTCCCTGCGATAACTGATAGGTACTGTTGTAGTTGATAAAGACACATCAGATAATGTCTTTAAGTATGTTTGAGATTTCTACTTGGTGATCGCTATTATTTATTTGCTCACCTGGAATCCTAAACGTTCAACATAAATGCTTCTCCGCTTGGCTGAGACTTCATACACGTTCACTAAAGTCGTTTACTGCGACGATCGCAACTAAGCGTTTGACTTTTAGTGAAGGGCTAGACCATTTTCGGTGAAACTGGTTTTCACTTCATCCATACTTCAATCAGTCGTGTTTAGGTTGAGAAGGCTAAGAGACAGCAATGTGTATCTCCATCCTTCTTGTTCCTAACTGTCTGTGTAGTCGAACCGAGCGTTGTTCACTGGGATCCAGTCGAACAGTGCAATATCTACCTGAGGACTTAACACTACTTTCTTACTCATATAATGATCAGTTCACTGAAATGAAACTGAGTATTTTTTTTCTCTCTTCTTAGATGTACACGTACTGTTATCAGCTATCGAGAATCAAACGATGAGGCGTCAGACGATTCCACACACAATGCTACAGATATTTCCACTGCAAATAAAAGTAAAGTTCGTAGGTTATTGGACGATGATGAAGACGATGCGATTGGCGAAAATAACACCGACCGATCCCCGACCCCGATATCGCTTAGTTTGAAAGAGAGCCGAACGCAGAACAGTCGGAGAATCATTAAGTCTTCTTCTGACAGCGATTATCAGCCATGTGATGACGTTGAAGAAGCAGAGGATAATGAAAGTGATATAGTAGATGCTGGCGAGTTGAATGGAGCAAATGAATCAACACTTGTCATCACTCCCATTAAAAAATTAGAAAACATCGAAACATCACAACTAAATGAGACAACTGAACATCATACATCATCAGAGCTGATAATATCAGAAACAAGTGATATCGACAATTCCCTCTTTAAAGATAATGTAGTATCACCAGTGATTGTATCAAAATGTTGTAAAGAGGAATTTGATAACAGCGGTAAGATGTATTCATCTGATCCACTCAAAAACCATGTAAATGGCGATATTGGTGATGAAGAAGAAGTCGATGATGAAGTTGATGAATGCCTACCAGTTCGGAATTTTTGTTCACATATTTCACCACATTTTGACAAAAATAGCAGTGACATTAAGCCGTACGTTTCCCCGGATTTATTTTAAAGTATTTATGTATATTTTTCTTAATTTATGGTTTTTATCATTGTTGTATATTCTCATCATTTTTAATCTATGAACTGATATTCAGGTAGGCTCAATGACGGTAATATTGGCAGCAGTAATAGCTAAAGTGAAAAATAACACAATTCCATCGTAATCACGTGTTCAATCATGCAAAACTCAGTCTCATTACACTGTACATAAATAAAATAATTTTGCGGTTTATTTATTTCACAATTTGTTGTATACTAAACAATTACTTGTTCGTGGGTGTTTTTTTCCATGTGATGTTTATCTATTTGTAAAATAATGGCTTATTGGATGAAAGGTTGAAGCATTTATCCCAGTCCAAATTCTATGAATTACTATCAGTATAAAATGTTCTTGGTGTTCAACTCCATAATGAATGAATGTGCCTGCATAACAATGCATAAATTTATGTTTCTTTTCCCTTTGCAAGGCTTTATGAAAGATTTGTGTGTTTTTCTTCTTTCGACTAGGCTTTCGTTAATGAAATCATGATTTTCTATTATGAAAGATAATGTTTATCATTGAGTTTTACTTTCATTTAAAATAGAAAACAGTAGGAAGCAAGCATTGATCGAGAATCTGAGTATGTTTGACATGCGTTTCGTTGGCATCTGTCAAATATGAGATGATGTTCCACAACTGGTTAAGTCCAAGTACTCCCAGTTTAATGATTAGGAGTGAAGTGGCAGAATGTGTCGATCACTTCACTTACTTGGGAAGTTGCATTAAACCCGAACGAACTGGTTGCTGACGAAATGTCAGCTCAGATACACAAGGCCCGTCTGGCATATCCAAATTACGTCATCTGTGTCACCGACTGGCGAGCTATCCGACTGTCTATCAAATGACGCATTTGCTGCTTTGCAGTCCTTCCTGTCCCGTTATACGGCTGTTAGACATGGCCACTAAAAGTAGAAGACATGAAGCGATTACAGGGTTTTGATCACAGATTTGTTGGTAGCATTACTCGCGTTTGGTGGAATCACCGTGTGAGCAATGTTGAGGTCAGGCAAAGGACACTAGGCAAGTCGATTGATGATGTTATGAACCCCAGTCGACTGAAATGGCTTGAGCATGTACTGTACATGCCGAACCACTGCTTACTTCGACGTGGCATACTAGAGTAAGTTGGATTATATTGGAAGGGGGTTGGTGGAGAGATTAGAGCAAGACATGACACGGGTCGATGAAGTCTGTTAGTGTTGGTCTGAGTCGTGTGAGGAATGTGGAGTGTGTTGTTTTGGTCCTTAAGATGAAAGTAATCAGTGGTTGAGAAGTGATTCTTGGTGAGATGGCTGAAAATCGGTGACAGTGGCGTAGATGTAGCCAGAGGATCTCCATGAAGTAAGTCGACCGTTGCGAAGTCAAACGTATTTAAGGTTATATCTATTGGTTTATCTGTGATGAAATTGAATAGGAATAGTGACGGTTGATATACTCGGTCAACACCACTAGTTGTCATTAGTTCTTATGACTACTCTCCATGTACTGTAACACGACCATGTGAGTTCGAGTGGAGAGCTTTGATAAGCATTATATACTTGTTCGGTACTTCCTTCACAACCAAACACTCCACGGTTGATAGAGTCAAATTCTGCCTTTAGGTTGAGAAATATGGCAAGTGTCGCCACCGATAGGTCTGCATGTGTTCCAGAACCTGTCACACGGTTAAAATATGATGGATGCTCCCTCGTCCAGTTCTGTATGAGATCTGCCTGGTTTTCTCGGATTTTCGTTTCTTGAGCTATACTTAGTTGTCAAGGTTTGGGTAGTGGAAATGACATGGTCTTGTCAGGTTTAGATAGTTTTGATACCGAGAACTAAGGTTCTGAGTGCTTTTTCTACGCCTTGATTAAAGTATATTTATTGATCTGGCAACTTCACATTGACAGGAGGTTGCATGAAACTTACAGTACTAGGCTCACTTGAGTAAAAGAAGATTAGCAGGTAGGTGTAATCAAAGCTAGATGGAAAAGGCATTTGCAGCTCTGTAACTGAGTAGTTAACAAATTAAGCACACCTCAGCGTTTTTGGAAAATCCTTCCAAGTGTCGTGTTAATTGCGATCAAGCCATCAGTAAGCAGTAAGAATGAGACATGTAGACACAGCTAAAGCACTAGCAATTCGAACCGTCTTTGCACATAGAAAGCAAGTACGAACAGCTTTTTTGTTCACCATGGATATCGTGAGGAATTGATCAGTAAAATACTTCCTTCTGATGTAGTTATATTTCATTTTCTTATCATCTGTGTATTTTCTTATTCTAAATGCCTACGTAACCTTCCTTTTTCATGCAGTCTGCTTCCATATCTGACTTATAATTGTTCTAGAATTCTCTATGATTTCATGAATGTACAGCTAAGAGAATGAGTTTTTGAGAAGAAAATATTTCTTCACTGCAATCTTCCCCTTTTCCTTATTATCAGATGGATTATTTGCGATATTTCAATTTGGAAAAAAACTATGTAATCAGATTCGACATACTTTTAGAAGATAGACACCAGGACATGATAGGTGTTATGCAATCATACGGAATACTCATTTTGACCCAAATAATAAGTGAGTGGTATGGTTCATGGTAGTCAGTGATAAATACCGTAATTTCGATAACGTTATAAGAAGAAGATTATCTGAAAAATGTGATGTATTTGAGCAACACATTTCGAAGAATCGGATCACACACTTACTTGTTAAGTGAACTTATATATGAAAATAAAAGGTCAAATATAGTGAATATGAAAAGGTTGTGACACTAGTCTTGGTAATATCAGATAAGGATTACCAAGGTAAATTAAGTGAAACAACATATTGTTTTTGTACACACCACGGAGGCTTAAGTTTACGAATGGCTAACGCTTCAGCAAATTTCAGTATGTGCCCCTAACTATTCCTATATCATATCTTAAATCCTGTTTTCATATTAACTCTGTGATTCATTTGCTGTGAGTGAAGATGGACGCCTATCACCTGCATTCATCAAATTTTGTGTTAAATTGTTTTTGAAGGCATTTAGGTATATTTTCACTCACCCTAGTTTGTACAGCACGATTAATCCTACCCATGTATGTGTGCCCACATTTACATGTAGGTTTGTAGTCACAATAGGATGTGACATAATCATTTATGTGAGGTTAAAGTTTGCGGTGAAGCAGGTGCTTTCTTGTTTCAACAATGGTAAGCTGAGCTGCTTATTATGTCTTGCCGATAACGTATTTTAATCTGTGTTTCAATATTATAATACTCGTTTTCTCCCTGTTATGATACTTTAAGTAGTATATCCTTCTGGCCTGAGAAAATTATAGGCTTTAGGGTTAGCTGTTTTCTACAACGGTTCAGAAACGGTGATGGATATCCGTTTTCCTCAAGTGTATCTGTCAGGAATTTCCTCTTATCATCCATTGTATCAGATGTACAAATATGTTGGATCCTATTAAATAACGATTTCACTAAGCCTCTTGTATACTGGACAAAGGCTGTAGAAACTTAAGTACTGTCCCGTCCAAGTAGGCTTTCTACAAAAAGGATCGTCCGATAGATCTGTCTTCTCTCCGGTACAAGAGTATATCAAGAAATGAAAGTTAATGTTCATTTTCTTCCTCACATGTCAGGCTGAAATGATCTTGTAGGGTATTAAACCTTTTTAACAAACCCATGACACCCTCATGTGTCACATATTATAATGATATCATCAGCACACCTACATTACTGATTAAGTTCTGGACTATTAGTTCAATATGTGACATATATACATCTGCTAATAACGGTCCCAATGAAGTCCATATAACAACGCCGTCATTTTGCCGAAAGTGTTCACTTTAGAAAGTGAAATAAACCTTATCAGTACGTCATAAAATTAGTTCTTTGAAATGTATTAGAGGAATAAGGATAATTCAAGGATATATAGTCGCAAAGAATGTTAACTGTGTTCTTTAGGGGTACATTAGCAAATAAAGAGTTAAGATCAGATGAGTACGTTTTATTATCTTTGATATTCATATCAGTAAGACAATCAACAAGTTCAACAGTATCTTTCAATGAATACTTACATAATACATTGCGAATCGGGGTCTATATTTCGGCTAACCATTTCGTCAATTTATGTGTGGGTGACTGACAGTGACAACATTTGGGGTAGTGGATTATTAATTTTTCCAGTCTTTGGAAATCAATGTAGATTTGGAAAATTAGATCCCATGGGTTTTGAGGAACCTCGCCTGGTTAACTAGTTCACTAGTTACCAGCCGGTCCTAAGCCCGGGTATACAGGGAAGGTTGGGCATAGGGCTAGCAACCCTACCCCGTAAAGCAAATCTAATCGCTGAAGAAACTTCAAAGCACAAACAAAATATAAATAACAAAAACAAAGTTATTCCTCGCTGGAATCGGAGAGGCGAAATGACGCCAGTTGGTGAAAGCCTTCAGGAAGCCAATTGGCTAATGTGTCTTCTCACTCTCGATGAAGGCGAAAGTAAACGTGGGGACATGGAATGTCCGTACGATGTTTGAACCCAGTAAGGCAGCCCAGATTGCAAACGAGATGAGAAGGTATCACATTGAAGTGCTTGGAATATGCGAAAGCAGATGGAATGGAGTGGAGTCTCCAAACTGTCGACTGGAGAATCAATAATCTACTCCAATATTGTCACCCAGACGACACGACAACCATGAGCATACTGAGCTATGGGGTGGCTATCATGATGTCCCTAACAGCATCGAAGGCTCTCTCGTGCAGTGGGAACCAATCTCCTCAACGATCAGGATGATGACAATAAGGTTCAACTCAAAAGGAAGGAAGGTCACAATCATACAATGCTACATTATGCACCTACAAATAATGCAGAGCAACAGAAAAAGGAGAAATTCTGCAGACAACTCAATCAACACTGGGCAAGACCCCACTCCAGTTGGCGATATCAAAATTCTGATGGGCGACATGAATGCCAAACTGGGAGGGGACAACACAGGAAGAGAACTAACCATGGGTCGAGAAGCTCTCAGTGAGGTGATGAACGAGAATGGAGAATTGTTTGCAGAATTCTGTTCATTCAACCATTTGGAGATTGGAGGCCAGGCAGTGTGTTCAAGCACAAGGAATCCACAAAGCGACATGGATTTCACCAGGCACTAGGACACACTACACTAAAAATCAGATCGACTTCATCTCCATCTCAAGAAAATGGAGACAGTCTACTTGACACAAGGTCAAGAAGAGGAGCAGATGTAGGTTCAGACCACTCACTGTCTAGTGCAAGGAACCTTCCAAATCAAATTGAAAGCCTTCAAGGAAGTTGGCGATAGACCACAGTTCAAGTACAACACTCGGAAACTGAAGGATGAAACTACAAAGGAAATTCTCACGTCAGTCAGCCATCAAGACAAAATGGGAGATATCGAGCAACATCCCTGAAGAAAACTGTGTGGAAGAACACTGGAAGTCTTTGAAAGCTATGTGGAAAGAAACCTGCACAGCCATATTAGGAAGGAGGAAGAAAGAAGACAGGACGAGGAATGGATCTCAATGGATACATGGAAGCTGATAGAGGAGAGAGGATGGTGAGGCAGAAGATAAACCAGTGCAAGGATGCTCAACGACAAGAGGAACTGAGCACAATGTATAAAACAATACACTAGAGAAAGAAGTGAAGAATAGTGCACGGAAAGACAAAAGACACTTCTACGACACATTGGCAAGTGAAGCAGAACAGACTGCATGTAAGAGAGACAGAGACCTGACAACATTGTATCAAATAACCAGGTTGCTATCTGGTAGGGAAGAGATCAACGCAGACGAAACCAATAAAAGATGATAAAGGAAATTTAATTACCAAAGAAGAGAAACAATGGGCCGACCACTTCAAGAAGCTCTTGAATCGACCACCACCTGCACTTCGTCCAGAAATACCACCTGCAGCCCAGCCACTGAACCAGAAGTGAACATAAATCCTCCAACAAAAGTGGAAGTCTTGAACCCCATAAAGCTACTGAAATGCGCGAAAGCAGCAGGACCAGATGGGATCCCGCCAGAAGCACTGAAAACAGACACAGAGACAACAGCGGACATGCTCACACCACTATTGCAGAAAGTGTGGAAGGAAGAGAAGGTACCCACACATTGATTGGAAGAAAAGCTACCTTGTCAAACGGCCGAAGAAAGGAGACCTCAATGTTTGCAAGAACTGGCGCCGAATCACTCTCCTGTCCACCCAAAGCAAGCAAATATTAAGCCGCATCATCCTGGAGAGGCTAAAGGATGCACTGGATTCAAAACTACAACCGCAACAGGCAGGCTTCAGGAAGTACAAATCATGTGCGGATCAAATTCCAACGCTACACCACACATAATCATAGAATAGAGTATAGAATGGCAGTCAACTCTACACCTCACCTCAACTTTATCGACTTTGAGAAGGCCTTTGACAGCGTCGACCGACAAGTAATTTACCAGCCAACTGCTTCAACACCACGGTTTCAGTGTCACAAACCTTTATCAATCTCATTCAACAACTATATGAAGACGCCACATACCAGTCAAGTAATTCACAATGGGAAGCTCAGTGATGATTTTGAAGTGAAGACAGGAGTAAGACAAGGTTGCCTACTATCCCCCATGATATTCCTGATTGTGGTCGACTGGATCATGCAGCAAACAGTGGGGAGCGAGAAGAGGGGGATACAGTGGCTGGACTGCGGAAAAGAACCTAGAAGATCTGGATTTCGCCACTGATGACTTGTGCCTGATGTCACACAAACTTGAAGATCTACAGGCGAAAACTAACAAGTTGGCAGAAGAGGTAGGGCAGCGAAGACGGGACTTCAAACAGATATAGAGAAGACAGAGGTGAGGAAGATACCCCACCACCACCACCAAAAAACTCCAATCACCATCAACAGGAGAAACGTAAAGAAAGTAACCTCCTTCACCTATCTAGGAAGCACTGTCTCAACTACAGGTGGCACAGACGAGGATGTCAAAGTCAGAATCGGAAAAGCAAGAGGGGCGTTCATTAGCCTGAAACCAATGTGAAGATCTGCACTCAGCATGTGGAACAAGAGCTGGATTTTCAACACATTCAGTCAAGTCAGTGCTTCTGCATGGTTCAGAGGTTTGGTGCATTACGAAAGGGATTTCCAATAAACTGCAGACATTCATCAACAACTGCTTACGCTCGTTACTGAAGATCAGATGGCCAGAAAGAGTAAGCAAGAAGGAACTTTGGCCGGGTGACGATGCAACCAACAACCTATCATTTAACAAATATGTAGAAGGAAGTGGAGATGGATTGGATTGGGCATACACTGGGAAGGCCGACTGGGGATACCACGCACCAGATCAGGCCAGGCTTCCGAGTGGAACCTGTATGGGAAGCGATCAATGAGCACTAGTTAAATTGAATTCGGGGG